TTGTTCGTTCCTTCAGGCTTCTAGCTTTGTTGCTGAACTATTTCTTCCATGTCTGGTTGATCTGAAACTAGTTCTTCCTGTGGAGTTTCTTGTACCTCATCTGCTGGCATTTCATATATTCCGAGACCGTTTTCAACAAGTTCCCTTTCTAAGTCATCCGGACTCATAAACCTTTCTTCTTTCGTTCCGTCTCTATTTTTTACGCGTTTCATGAAGAGAGTTAAATTGTCATTTAGCTCTGACATCAAATATCTCGGAGTAAATTCGTTCATGTCATTTGGATGATATGCTATTAAATCATATCCCTTAGCGAGCTTGTATTTTCCAGGTTTGAAATTATATCCCCTTTGGTGCAGAGCCATAAAGCTAAATAGGTTCGGGTCAGTATTTCCATCCTTGAACTTTCTAATAGCTTCTTTATATCTGTCACTAAAGTCAATACTATCTGGGTAACCATAGTCTTCTTTAAGCATTTTTAAGAATTCTTGGTTTCCTTGTTCTCTACTTCTTTTATGTCCTTGCTCTGTTTGTGGTTGTTGTTGTGCTGGTTGTGGTGCAGTGTTTTGAACTGTTGGTTGTTGTGTTGGTTGTTGTGCTGGTTGTGGAGGTGGTTGTTGTGCTGGTTGTTGTGCATGCCTGTGTCTGTGTCCATGTGACGATGTAAATGTTCTAGGTAGTCCTGGTGCAGGTGCTTCTCTTGGAGGGTTTGGTGGTATATAAGTTCCACCAGCTGGCACATATGTTCCATCTGCAGCGTAATGTCCTACCTGACTTTTCGTTTTTAAGAAAGCATTTACTAGGTCTGTTTTGGTCTGTTGTAACTCTTTTTCTTGACTTTTCACAACAGTTGCTCTAACGGCGTCATAGGCACTTTGAACTGCCTGTCTCGTTGCTGCATCTGTTATTTTCGTCATATTTTGTGCTACTTCTTTTAACTCTTTGTCGAAACCTTCAGACTTCAGTTTCTTTCCAGATGAGAAGTCGTTCACTTGTTTCACCTTACTATGAAGAGCTTCGAAAGCGTTCTTAAAGTCAGCATTTGTTAAAGCTTCATTTGAACTATCTTCATCCGCTTGTATTTTTGTCCTTATTGACCCTATGAGTTGGGCTGCTTTAGCGTTGGCTTGGGCATCTAACCAGTCATTGTTAGCTTTTATATATTCTGCGCTTTTCATTGCCTTTTGCATAGCCGCGTCGTTATTTTTACTTTCTTGTGCTAAGTTTTCATACTGTACGGTTTGGTTTTGCAACTGTAAAAGTTTTTCTGCCTTTACATTTGCTTCAACTTCTTTTTTATACTCATCGCTATCCATATATGTCTTCAGGGCTTTTTGTTTTATCTCTTCATCTTTCAGTACTTTATATCGAGTAGTATGGTTTTTCAAATTTATGACATCTTGTTCCATTTTTGCTACTTCTGCTGCTTTTTCTGACACTTTTTTCGCATATTCCTCTGTACTTAGTTCTTTCAGTTGTTCTTCTTTCTTCTTTTTCTCTACGTTTAACTCATTGAGTTTCTTTGTCTGTCTGTCATATTCTAGTTTCTTTTCGTTTTCGCTTATTTGTTTCTGTATGTCTATGTTTGACTTTTTGACATCTGTTATTTGATTTTTGAGTGAACTCAAATTCATTTGACTTTGAGGGTTATATGCTGTTCCGTCTGCAGCTCCACCATAGCCTGCCATTTTCGCTAAAAGTGCCGCTCTTAAACCTCCACTCTGTGCACCAACAACTCGGTTTAAAAGCATAGGATTGCTTGACATTTGTTGCAACATAGTGGGGTCATTCATTATTTGTTGTTGCAACTGTTGTTGTGGTGTCAGTTTTACTATTGGATGTTTCAATGCTCTCTTCCTCTTACGTATATTCTTACGTAGCTTACGTGGCATTTTAAGTGAAGTTAAAAAGCGGTTTTTGACAGATGTTTTATTGTGACTTCTTCGTAAAGACTTTGTTGAGATTTCTTCGTAAATGAGTGTAAATGACCCAAAAATATATTTTAGGGTAGAAGGTTAGATATAACCTCTTTTCTAACCTCTTTTCTACCCTCTTGAATTTTCATGAATTTCTTCGTAAAGACTTTGTTAAGACTTCTTCATCTAATTTCTCATGAACTTTCTTGTCTATGTTTTGTTGAGATTTCATCGTAAAGACTTTGTTGAGATTTCTTCGTAAATGACCCTAGTAGTATATTTTTGGTGTAAATTTCATGAAAATTCAAGAGGGTAGAAAAGAGGTTAGAAAAGAGGTTATATCTAACCTTCTACCCTAAACATTATTTTTGTCTGATTTTACGAAGAAGTCTTGACAAAACATTTACGAAGAAGTCTTGACAAAACATTTACGAAGAAGTCTTGACAAAACATTTACGAAGAAGTCTTGACAAAACATTTACGAAGAAGTCTTGACAAAACATTTACGAAGAAATCTTGACAAAACATTTACGAAGAAGTCTTGACAAAACATTTACGAAGAAGTCTTGACAAAACATTTACGAAGAAGTCTTGACAAAACATTTACGAAGAAATCTTGACAAATTCAAGAGGGTAGAAAAGAGGTTAGAAAAGAGGTTATATCTAACCTTCTACCCTAAACATTATTTTTATTGAATTCTGTATAATATTCTGAGTAATATGACAGATGTTTATATAACACTTTCTCCGGTTTATAGGACCTCTCTCATATTCTATCTTGTCATATCAAAACTCATAGTCATGTTTGTCCTCTAAGACTTCATTTATACTAAACATCTTCAGGGCTAGAAGGCACGAAGTGCCTGGAAGCCCCACTACCTTTTTTTTTTTTTTTTTTTTTTTTTTTTTTTTTATAGAACCCTCTTGCTATTGTGTCAAAATTGCTAAACCGATAGCAAAAATATCTCGCAATATCAAAATTGAGATATTGAGTGAATTATGCATTATAGAGATTAAAAATCTGATTTGTGATAAGGGTTTCGTTTTGCTAAAATTATCACTTTTATAGCATATTTGTTTTTGGATGTTTTGCGAAACCAAAAAAAAAACTATTATATACAATGTGTGTGTAAAGAAAATACTTTATTTACTAGTTAAAAAATCATTTGGTATTGATCAAGTTATTTTTTCTGGATAAGATATTATATGGATAATTGGATAGAAAATACAATTATATAATCTTGTACCTGGTTTAATTAAGCTAATTGTCATCAGAAACTTGTAATTTTTATGAATTTCAGATTTTCTTTTCATTACTGCTTTTCTTAATAGGTCAAGTTCTTATTTACGTTATAAAGTATGATATTTACAAATATCAAGTTATCGTGTTTTTTGAGAAATTATGAGAAACAAACAAAAATGAAAAAGATAGGAATAGCAATGAATAGTGATGTGGGTATAGAAAATGTAAGAGATATGAATGCAAAGCAATCAGTATTTAGGACATTGACCATAGATTTCGAAAAAAAAATGCTGCATATTGAGCGAAAACTATGATTATATTATAAGGCTGTCATTTAAAGCATAATGAAACTATTCCCTTTTCATTTTAATTGAATAAGATAGTAAAGATTTTTGAATTACCTAGAAACTGATGAGATGTTTTCACAAATAAGGGTTTCGTTTTGCGAAAAAAACGTACAATACGCAATTTCGCTAAAAAAACATTTAGCTAGCAATTTCGACCTTTGACTCCACTCAAGACGTCACTTTTTTAATTTTGCGGTATCATATTTTTGGAAAATCTTTATGAATATTATATAAAAAGTCTCTTTAATATCTATATTTCATATTTTTATCGATTTTTAAAGTTTTTGCGAAAAGTATTCAATTATTTTTGCTATTTGGTCGGGTAAATGTCAGATTTGCGACATTTTCTGATATGATATTCAGATTCTACGTTGATAATAATGCTTATAGAACCCTCTTGCTATTGTGTCAAAATTGCTAAACCGATAGCAAAAATATCTCGCAATATCAAAATTGAGATATTGAGTGAATTATGCATTATAGAGATTAAAAATCTGATTTGTGAAAACATCTCATCAGTTTCTAGGTAATTCAAAAATCTTTACTATCTTATTCAATTAAAATGAAAAGGGAATAGTTTCATTATGCTTTAAATGACAGCCTTATAATATAATCATAGTTTTCGCTCAATATGCAGCATTTTTTTTTCGAAATCTATGGTCAATGTCCTAAATACTGATTGCTTTGCATTCATATCTCTTACATTTTCTATACCCACATCACTATTCATTGCTATTCCTATCTTTTTCATTTTTGTTTGTTTCTCATAATTTCTCAAAAAACACGATAACTTGATATTTGTAAATATCATACTTTATAACGTAAATAAGAACTTGACCTATTAAGAAAAGCAGTAATGAAAAGAAAATCTGAAATTCATAAAAATTACAAGTTTCTGATGACAATTAGCTTAATTAAACCAGGTACAAGATTATATAATTGTATTTTCTATCCAATTATCCATATAATATCTTATCCAGAAAAAATAACTTGATCAATACCAAATGATTTTTTAACTAGTAAATAAAGTATTTTCTTTACACACACATTGTATATAATAGTTTTTTTTTTGGTTTCGCAAAACATCCAAAAACAAATATGCTATAAAAGTGATAATTTTAGCAAAACGAAACCCTTAGTACAAAGTGGGAAATTCGTTATAAACTATAGAATATGATAAATCAAAGTTTTATAAAACTTTTGTGAAAGTTCTGCCAAAAAATTTTTGTCCAAAATAATTAAGTCTCAATTAAATAATTAAATAACACATTTAATTTTTGCATTTTATATTTATAATTTTAATTTAATAGCTTCTCTCAAAATTGAATTCAATTCAGACTTAATTGAGATATAATCTCAAATTTGCTCATAGGATAAGAAAAGACGCTGCATAATTGTATCCAATCCCATACATAAGAAGCTTACATTCATAATATATGAGCAAAAATTGATTTTTTTTTTAATTTAGAGCAAAGTTAAAAACATATGCTTTTTTGCATGCTTTATCAAGTTGTTGGACACCAATCAGATATATTTCTTCAACCAAATTTGGTTCCTACGAAAGTCAATGGATACTTCAATCAATTACTCGAAATATACATTCCACAAGTTTTAAATCAATCTACAATAGAAATAATACCATCCTTGAAATCTAAATACCGAATGTTTAGTGTTTATCCTTATAAAACATCTCTTGCTAATGGAAAATATATTCCAGAATTAAAATCATACGTTTTTAATAAAGTGAATTCAGGAATGAATGTTTTCAACTTAATTACGGATTGGGATCAAGAAGATAAGATTGAAGTGGCAGTTCTAAACAACTTGAATACAATTTTCGAAGTTAAGAAATCTTCAGAGCTTTTATTTTCTATACATCAGTACTTGATAGTTGTTTACGCATCTATCACTGCAATCTCCACCTTATTCTTGGTTAAATTTTTTTGGGATATTTCTCAAATTCTACCATTTTTATTTGCAATTGCTGCACTCACACTTCCTAAATACCAAACTATACTTGATTTAAGACTTAAATATACTGATCTTTCTTATAAAAATTACCCAATGACAGATTATTCTTCTGATTGGATTACTTATGATACTAAAGCAGTTGAAAAAGCACTAAAAGATAAAGTCACTTACACTGAATGCCGTTTGTGCAACTTCAAACCAAATTTAATTTATAATAATCGCTCAACAGAAAGAGATATTATATTAATTTCTATAGTTGGAGCATCATCAGGTTTTGAATCAGCCATTAGTGCAAGAACAGCTGGTTTTAAAGGAAAAATACTCATCTTTACAGATTCAGAAGTTCCTGACCGCATTAAGAAATGTGGAGCATATGTTATACATACCAGCACAACAATCTATGCTGGATTGTATCTAAAGCAATATATTCGATTCCCATTAATTGCCTCATTTATTGATAAATTTGGTTCATATTTTGACAGGTTAATTTACATCGATACAAGTGATGTCATGTTTCAATCAGACCCATTTAATTGGAACGATGATGTTGTTCAATTAAGTGATGAGAACTCTCCTTATTACAATAACTTTTTCGTTAAACGTTGGGGCCCCCAATTTGTTGGACTTGATCATGAATGGTTCAAGGATAAAGGAAATATAATTTGCTCAGGAGTTTTCGGTGGTACTGGCAAAGCTCTTGGTCCGCTTGTTAAATTAGTATCTGGATATTGGAGACCTGGAGAAGATGTTATTCCTGATCAAGGCGTTTTAGATTTTATATTAGCATCAAATATTCCTAAAAACGCTGGAATTAAATTCGTCTCAAATAATGATTTAGCAACTGTTGGGATTCGTTTATGTGACAATGAACTTATCAAACAGTTCGAGATCGACGGTCCACCGAACTTTAAAGATAATCTATTCAACATTTATCCAGCAATTGTTCATCAAATTAATCGTAATTCACAAATCCAAAATAAATTTAATGAACTTTGCAAGTAAAAGCCAAAGTTATATTATATGGCTTATGCTAATAGAATAAATATTATGACGTTTGATAAAGAACTTACAATAAAGTTATGGAAATTTAAATTTTTTATTACCTGTTTTAATGTTTCTATCTCGTTTTCTTTTTGTCTTATTTGCAAATTTATGTTCTCCATCTTTCTTTTGACTTCATTCTGTTAATATGATTCTTGATTGACTGCATTTTGAAGTTCATTGTAGGAATCAACAACCTTATCAAAGAATTATCAAGGGTTAAAGCCAGTACGACCTCCTTGCTCTAATATTGACAACAATAAGATTATACATTTGGTTGAAACGCGTTTTGTTTCTTAAAAACGCTCTCTACCCCAATCAATACCTTCTGTTTGCCATCGTTCTGTGTAAATCACTATGCAGAATGTAGAATTGAATTTCCATTAAGAAAGTAAATCTTCCAGTACATTCATGTACATCACTGTAATAGCTTGTCAACACTACTATAATATTTTCGTAATATTTCTGATTTTAAAATGGTATAATATTCTCAACAATAAGAATTCCGCATTTAAGTGAGGTTTGTAAGCATATTTTGATCTAAACATTGTAAATCGTATCCATGCTATCGACATATGGAAGAATGTGAATATTGCGATGGAAATTTGAAATACGTTTGGAACATTAAGAGGTGAGAATTTTGATTAAGTTCTCGTTTAATACATAGGAATAAATTTCAATAAACAAACTAAAACATCAACAAAAATATCAATTTAAAACAAATATAAAAAATAATTATAAATTACAAAAAGATTATGCGTGAACACGACGATATTCACCAGCAATCTTTCGTATAGTTGACATGAAAGTAGATTCGTCAATTTCTTCTTCACCCAGAGACTGTAATGCATTGAATTCTTCCAAAACATCGATAATCAAAGCGTTTTTCTCCTTCTCGAAATTGGCTTTGAGTTCTGCAATCTCTTCTTGACGTTTCGTTTCTTGGGCAACAGATTTGAAGTTATATTGAGAAGCAATGAGATCTGCTTCTCTCTTCATCTGATCTTGCAAAGACTGTATCTGAACTTCTGCTGCTTTCTTCGATGCGGTCAATTTAGAAATTTCTTTCATCATTTCTTGAGCCTTTCCTTCATTAATCCTCAATGATTCTGTCAACTTTCTCTGTAATTCCTGGTTCTCTGCAGATTGTGTCTTAAGACTCTCGATTGAGTCAGTAAGTTTCTGCTTCAATTGGTTCTGAACTTCGACAAGTTTCTGAGCTTCTTTACTGTAATCATTTTCTCTTTGCTTTGCAGCAATATCGGCTTTTCTGATTTTTTCTTTCAATGACAAAATTTGGCGTTCTAATTTCTCTTGTTTAGCAATTTCTCGTTGTCTGTCGTCTTCAGCTATCTTCTTCTGTTCTTGAAGTTTAGCTTCGAACTCAACAGAGCTTTGACTGACTTTCATATTAGCTTCTCTGACTTCTTGGTTGCTTTGGAAAATTGTTTTTTCGAATTGGGCAACTTCAGCTCTGTGGTCGAATTGTGTTTGTCTTATTTCATTCTTCAAATTAGCAATTTCTGCTTCTCTTGCTTCAATTGTTGCCTGTTTCTCTGATTTCTCTTTCTCTAAGTTCTGTATTGTCTGACTTCTCTTTTCAAGCTCTTGGACTTGAGAATCGATTTGTTTCTTCAATTCATCGATAATTGATCGAAGGTTTGCATTTCCATCAATTTTCTCTGCAGCTTCTTGCATCTGCAATGCAAATTGTTTAAGAGATTTGTTCTTGGCCTTGAGTTTCCTTATCTTCTTCTCAATATTCTCAAGTGATTCGTGAACAAAATCAGGATCACTTGTACCAAGAATTTGTTCGATATGTTCTAATTGAACGTTCTGAGTTTCAACAACACTTCTCACTGCAGACAATTCATTGGAAAGACTTGTGTTAACGAGAGCTTGCAAGCAGAACATATCAAATGTTGTGCGATTGTCCCATCCTTGGCAAGCGAATTCTTGTAATGATCTTCTTCTGTCTTCAAATGATCCTGTGAATAAGAAATCAAGAGAAACAAATTGTGGATTCAATAATTCATTCTGTTGTAAAATGAGTTCAAGTTGTGCAGTTTTCTCTGCAATGAAATCAATCAATGCTGAATCACGTGGAATGTTTATTGATCCTGCAGCATTATCATCATTTGTTTTTGCACCAAGAATAACAGAGAAACCACGGATCATACCTTCTAACAAACTTTGGATGTTAGAAATTGATTGATTTTGTTGTTTGTTCTGTTCTTGGTTCTCAGCATTCTGTTTGCTCTGTTTGAGCATATCAGAAATCTCTTTGAATGCTAATTTCGACCTTTCAAAAGGTGTCAATTTGAAATCAGCCAAAATTGAGTTCAATTTATCTCTTGCAGGTGCATCAATGAGGGGTATCAAGCTCTGTGACATTGCTGCTAATAGGCAAGAGTCTGTAGTTGTTGTATTGAACTCTGTTGGTCTTTGAGAGAATTTTGGCTTTTGTAATTTTTGAGATAATTCATTAATTTTTTGTTGATTGTTCTTTGCGTTTAATTCGCATTTAGACAAAGTTTGGATAGACTTCTGTCCTAACTGGAACAATCTGTTGCGTTGGTTTGTTAATGATGTTATCTCGTTTCTTTGGTTATTGATCAAATTCTCTAAACTTTGGATAGAATTCTTCAATCTTTCATTGTCATTTTTCACTGCATTATAAGCAGATTCTCCTTCAACGTGTGCTGCTTCGGCTGCTTGTAGTTGGGTTCTTAAACTATCAATTTCTTTGGCATACTTGCCATTCTGTTGGTTTAATTGTTCGATTTCCTTCTTTAAAGTATTTTCCGTCGAACAAATTTTTTCTTTACTGAAATTATGAAGATGTTTCTTATATTTTGCAATTTCTGCTTTCTGGCTGTTGATTTTATTAAGTGCTCGACGGAGTTTGAGCTCGACTTTCTTCTCTAATTCATCGGATTGCTTCTTTTGGTCGCTCAAATTGTTGAGATTTATCTTTAATTGAGTATTTTCTTGGACAAGTTCGTTAATACGAGTAGCACCTGTTTGCTCTGGACTATTCATGATGTTCTTGAGTTCATCAATCCTTGAATCTCTCATATTTAAGAGTTCTTGATATTTCTGAATTTCATCTGCATTCTTTTGTTGTTCTTGTTCTAATTTCGACTTCATTGACTCTATTTCATGCTGTAATGCAGTTGTTTGTGAGGCACTTTCTTCTAATTTAGCTTCCAAATTGGAATTTTCTTCAACAAGTCTTTGAATTTGATCTTCTGTAGTATCAATAGCTCCTTTGGCAGTATCTATAAGCTGATGAAGCTTCTGATTGTTTTCATTTAGAAGTTCGTTATCTTTTGTTAATTTCTTTGATTTCTTTACGACTTGCTTTAATGTCATAACGATATTTTGTTCGGATTCCTGATGCTCTATATTCAAATCATCAATTTCTGATTGATGTTGTTGCATTATTGATTTATAAAACGTTAAAACTTGCTGAAAACTCTGTAATTTCTGATCAGCAATCGAAGAGAATTCTGTAAAGAATGTTGCTAATTCATTTTTGGCCTTGGCGGCATTAGCTTCTTTGATATTTAGCTCAGCAACATTTGATTGTAAGTCAGTTATCTCTTTATTCTTTTTATCTATATCATTATTTAAGTTAGTTATTTGAAGTCCGTATGAGTTTATCTTTTTCTCGAGATCTTGATTCCTTTGTTGAGCAATTTTCAATCTTGATTGTAAAGACTTGGTTTTTTGATTTGCTTCCATTAATTTACTTGTTAATTCACGTTTTTCTTTATGAAGGTTTTCGATATCTGAAGTATTATTGCATGCACGCTCAAGTTGAGATTTCAATACTGCATTTTCTTTCTTAAGTTGATCAATATCATCATAGTATGATGTTTCCATCTGAGGGTCAATCTGAACTGCAGCATTTTCCTGCTCGTCTAGTGATTGGACACCATCAGAATTCATTTTGCAACAAAAATCGTTTAGAAATTTTGGATAAACAAGCAAAATCTATTTCATTATAAATAATTTAATCATAATCTTAAATTACTATTTTTCTATAAATTTTTTGATTTCGTGATGAAAATGCAATTAAAATCATTCAAAAATCAAGCTTGTGTGATCTCATATGAATGAATATCTAAAATTTCTGAATTTAGAAATGTGACTATATATATTTGGATCTATCAGTAGAAAAATTTAAAATGATTTTTTTTTTATTCAAACAAAGTATTTAATATGCATTAGCATAATAAGGTACATAAACAATAAAAGAGGAATTCCGACAATTGAACTCTTAAATGCGAACTCTGATTTCAATATAACCTTTAATCATCATATATTGAACCAGAACTACTCATTGATAATTCAGTTGTTGATTTTGTAGTATTTCGCGAAATGGAAGTGATAGTTTGCTTTGATTTTGTCACACTCTTTCCTCCTTTTGTGTAATTATCATTTGCACTCAATTCTGAGGCGCTAACTTCTCTGATATTGATTTTAATATCTGGTTTACGATTGTACGATTCTTTAATAGTACTAATATCTTGAGCGTATCTCTCTTTTCTCTTTGAATATTCTTGAGTTAATAAAAGCTTTTGTCGTTCTCTTTTCATTCGAAAATCATCGAGCATTGCCTTAAATTTATCAACTTCTCGTCCAATTTTGATTTTTGTTTTTTCTAAAAGTTCTTTTTGTCTGATTAGCTCGTTTTGTAGATCTATCTCTTCTTGGCTTTGTTTACTTTCTATTTCGATAACTTCATCGTCTTCATCTTCGTCATCATAGCTACCTTGCGGTAAAGGTTTGCCTTCTAATCGATGTTTAAAATGTAAATAGTTCAAATATTCCTGATGAGTTCGTTGCTGTTCCCAAAATTCCAATTGTCTTGGATTTAAATATGGATTTGCCCTTCGGAGAGTAGATGATCCAGTATACTGATCAACAGGAGCATATTCTGGTTCATCAGATACTTGAATGCTATGTCTTGAAAGAAATTCTTCTGAAATAGACATAGTATTGATAATTTGAAAACGGGCACTCTAAAAATTTGATGGCATAATTAGTAACTCTCGCCAGTATATTACATGGAGAGCAATAATATAATAAAAATGGCTTATTATCTGAGAAACAATTCCCAGAAATTTTATTATTCTGGAAATCAAATGTTGGAATCATGTTTTGGAGTTTTTTACTTATAGGGATTATTAGAAGTGATAGATTGTGAATGAAGCTTTGTGTAATGAGATGATTTGGAACGTGATTTGTCATTTTATGTCTTTCTATTTAAAGGACCAGCAATAAAGTTTATAACCCGCTTATACATATGATATTGATGATCAATCTTGATAGATTTAAAAAAGTAGTATATAATGCGGGTTTTGTGACTTTTTTTGTAAACGTAAGAATTCATACAATATCGAGCGATTTTGTATCATTTTTTTTAACATATGAAGTAAAAAATGTATGATTCTTACGTTTTTTATTCTTACGTTTTTGAATAAATCAAGATTTAAAAAATTTTCAAAATTGTAAGACATTTACACTAAACCCATACATAATGAAATAAAAAAAATAAAAAAAATAAAAAAATAAACTTTAAAAATTCATGTCTTACATTTTTGAATAATTTATTTTTTTTAATTTGTATGAAAATGAGTGGATCAAGATTCGTAACCGTCAATCAATTAATGGATGCTCTTTCACCAATTCTTGAAAATGTTAAACAAGTAGATGTTTATTTCGATGATTATGTAGAAAGTTTATATTATAAAGGTAAGTTTAATATTAAACCTATTGCTTTTGCATTTGATAATAAATTAATTGAAAATGCAAAAATTTGGGAATTAATTCCAGATATTGAATATATAACAAATATTAATGATAAATGGTTTAAACGAATTTCAACCACAAAAGTTCTTTGTAAATTAATGATCAAAACTGAGGAAAAGAATTTAACGGGTTTAAATATCATCCAAATAAAGTTTCAGAACTAGAAAATGAAAAACTTCAGAAAAAATTAAACGATAGACTTTCAAATGATCGTATTGAAAAATAAATAAACTAGCAGAAGTTGCATTTAATAATGAAATATTTGATGAATATAACCTTGAACTCAGTGATGGGCTTTAAGGACCCGGGCTCAACGAGTCATGATTTATGAAATCAATAATTTGATTTATTCGCTCTTCAATAATTTCTATTTTTTGTTAAATCATCAATTTTCATTAATGAGGTGATTCTTGATTGAGGAATAGATTTCAAACTAACCACTCCTTTTATTTTTGAAATTTTGAATCCATCAACTTTAAACATTTTATTCAATTTACATGTTGTCAATTCTTCAAATAATTTTTTATTATTAGCATAATAGTCATTAAATTCATCAACAGATGAAAAAATTTTTATTTCAGTAATTGGTTTAACAACGTTTATTTTTTGTTGAACATTTTCACTTTCATTTATTTCTTCCTCCTCTGTTTCATTTATTTTTAAAATCGGTTTCATTTATCATTAAATAAAAATTAGAATATAAGTGATGAAATATATTTTTTAATTAATATTAAATCAGAAATGGCGGCAGGATTCTTTAAAAAATTTTCAAAATTGTAAGACATTTACACTAAACCCATACATAATGAAATAAAAAAAATAAAAAAAATAAAAAAATAAACTTTAAAAATTCATGTCTTACATTTTTGAATAATTTATTTTTTTTAATTTGTATGAAAATGAGTGGATCAAGATTCGTAACCGTCAATCAATTAATGGATGCTCTTTCACCAATTCTTGAAAATGTTAAACAAGTAGATGTTTATTTCGATGATTATGTAGAAAGTTTATATTATAAAGGTAAGTTTAATATTAAACCTATTGCTTTTGCATTTGATAATAAATTAATTGAAAATGCAAAAATTTGGGAATTAATTCCAGATATTGAATATATAACAAATATTAATGATAAATGGTTTAAACGAATTTCAACCACAAAAGTTCTTTGTAAATTAATGATCAAAACTGAGGAAAAAGAATTTAACGGGTTTAAATATCATCCAAATAAAGTTTCAGAACTAGAAAATGAAAAACTTCAGAAAAAATTAAACGATAGACTTTCAAATGATCGTATTGAAAAAATAAATAAACTAGCAGAAGTTGCATTTAATAATGAAATATTTGATGAATATAACCTTGAACTCAGTGATGGGCTTTAAGGACCCGGGCTCAACGAGTCATGATTTATGAAATCAATAATTTGATTTATTCGCTCTTCAATAATTTCTATTCTTTTTGTTAAATCATCAATTTTCATTAATGAGGTGATTCTTGATTGAGGAATAGATTTCAAACTAACCACTCCTTTTATTTTTGAAATTTTGAATCCATCAACTTTAAACATTTTATTCAATTTACATGTTGTCAATTCTTCAAATAATTTTTTATTATTAGCATAATAGTCATTAAATTCATCAACAGATGAAAAAATTTTTATTTCAGTAATTGGTTTAACAACGTTTATTTTTTGTTGAACATTTTCACTTTCATTTATTTCTTCCTCCTCTGTTTCATTTATTTTTAAAATCGGTTTCATTTATCATTAAATAAAAATTAGAATATAAGTGATGAAATATATTTTTTAATTAATATTAAATCAGAAATGGCGGCAGGATTCTTTAAAAAATTATGGGATGGAATTAAGAAAGCTGCAGGTTGGGTTTATAAAAAGGTTATTAAACCTGTTGCAAACTTTTTGGCACCAGTAGCGAAAACGGCAGGAACTATCATAGGTGGAGTATTAGGTACTAAAGCAGGTAATCCGGCGATGGGAGCACAAGCAGGTAACGCAATTGGTGGAATTGCTGAAGGAATACTTAATAAAATAGGGGGTAAATAGTGGAAAAATAAATAAATATTATTTTTATCTTAGTATTGGTTGTAGTCTTTGATAAACTTTTTCTCCTTTATTTAAATTTCTCTTATTGGGGCAGCTTTTGGTGTTATTGATTCAGCAATGTCACTAATTGCTTCTTTATTCTTAAATATCCAATTTGCTCCTTTCTTCATTGTTTCCCAAACTTTATGCGCTCCTCTTTTTACTTTATCCCACAGTTTCTTAAAGAATCCTGCAGCCATAGTTGATTATTTCATTAAAATTAAAAATTCATTTTCATTTTAATTTTGATTTTTTATTTAATAATAAATGACGACTAACTATTTGGTGCCAAACACTAAACCAATTAATGGAAATGTGTTTCATTCATTCGAAAAGATAAATGAAATATTTGCAAAGAATGACGGAAGAAGATATTATAGAGAACTTGAAAGTTCATGCTATGACTCTGATGCTCCATATTTTGATGATAAACAAACTCATTTAAGAATTACAAATCCGGCTCATGATGTGAACCAATTAGGTGACACATATATTAAACGCAAAGTTAAAGCAACTCTAGTTTCAAATAAAGCTTTCACATGTGATGCCGCTTTTAAATGTATGCGTTTATTCGTTGGTTACAAATCATCAAATCAAAGCTTTAAACAATTAGAAGTAGAAACCGAAAGAGGTGATGCCGGTTATCTTCAGATGGATTGCGCCCGTGAATCTTTCGCATTTGCAACATATAAACCAAAATCAGAAAGGAAAGTTAAAAAGTTTGTTCATTCGTTATATAATAATGTTCAAAAATATGATAACTCAGTATGTGGTAAATATATTGACCCTTCAGAAGTTTTCAAGAAAGCAAATGAAGAAGTTGATATCACTTTTGATATGATTATTCCGGTAAATGATTTGTTAGCATTTCAGGCGTTCGATGATTATCCTAAATCATTTGGTGAAATCATTCTTAAATATTATGTTTTCAGGGATACTTTAGTATTTTGTCAGGTTGACCCGTTAAGAGTTGCTGATTTACAAAATTACGTTTATGAAAAGATAACTGATGAAAATTATGAAAAGATTATGAATCATGTTTATAAATATGATCGCAAATTCCAACAAATCGGACTTCCTGCCAAATTAATTACAAGCTTAGCCGCTACATCTGCTGACGCAACAGTTGATGACGTTATTATTTCATGCACAAAGATGGAAGTTTTAGAGGATAAATGTATTACACCAGGATACGGTTTAATTGAAGAATCAGTTAAAGCAATACCACGTTTATTCAGTAAGGAAGATCCATTCATGATTCCAGCTCAACATATTGACGTTCGTTCACTAAATGGAGGTTGCATCACTCCTGAAGGTATCAGCTCAGATTTCTCATACGCTCTTCATAATGTTACAGATGTTGTGTTAGCATTTCCGAAGAATGCAATGCAAAGAACAGTTTTAGAAAATCCAATGCTTCGAGGTCTTCAGGTCACTATAGATTCCAGAAACTTCCCCGATCAAGCGATGACCACAGTGGGTGACATATTCTTTACACGTATGCTTCAAGCTTCTGATTTAGATGGAGTGAATGAATGCACGGAAGAATACGAGGACTCATTAACTAGACCACTGAATGATGATGATGGCACCATTAGCTAGAACATGGAAAGACCAAACTTCATTCTTATGCACTATTCCAGTTCAACGTGATGGAGCGGGTATATTCTTTGATGGATTAGAAACTTTCAACTCACAAGTTACAGTACAAGTGAAAGCTTATCCAATCATTCAGGGTGTAAATGACACTTACTGTTCAAAGGTGACAAATCCTCCTCAGGTTTGGTTTACTAGGACTACGTATTGGACATGGACACCGGATGAAGGTTTGAAATATCATCCAACAGGTACACCACCACAGTATAGAAGTTCATATGATGAAATATTGATGAATAGAAATGTATAAAATTATAAATTTATTTTTGATTAAATGGATTTAAATTCTGAAGAATTAGCGGGAGTATATAATACATACGTAGATGATATGATTAATGAAGCATTGAGTGATAATAGAAATGCTCTATCTAAGGAAAAATTAATGAAAATTCCATATTCTGAATGTTACTTAAATTCAATCACTGCAGC